CGCACTTCTCCTGAGACCCTCTACACCTCTCCTGAGACCCTCAATACCCCTCCTGAGACTCCACACCCCTCCTGAGACCCTACACACCCCTCCTGAGGCCCTCCGCACCGCTCCTGAGACCCTCTGCACCCCTCATGAGACCCTCTGCACCCCTCCTGAGACCCTACACACCACTCCTGAGAGCCTACACACCACTCCTGAGACCCTACACACCACTCCTGAGACCCTACACACCCCTCCTGAGAGCCACTGCACTACTCCTGAGACCCTCCACACCATTCCTGAGATCCTACACACACCTTCTGAGACCCTCCGCCCCCTTCCTGAGACCCTCCACCCGAGACTTCAGGGCGACACCCCAGAGCAGAGTGGCAGCACCGAATATGTAGCCAATTCATATACTATTATTCTGCATCTAAATTCCAGTTTTGCCGGATCATTTCCATACTTCCTGGTAAGTTCCCAGGCTATGATCATAGGTTGGCAGCCACCAATCTACATGCCGTTCTCCATTGCTTTTTGACCAACGATATCCAATAAAACTCAGCAACCAATCAGATTTCAGGATGTCAGACTCCTTTTTCCAATGTCATCTATTTCTCTGAGTTCTGAGTATATTTCTAAATATTATATTCCTTGCTCTGTTCATCTGTGAGTTTATTCCCAAATCATTCCCTGCGGAATTCCGGGGGCAGCAGAGATCACAGAAATAACATAGTAACTCATATCGACCAATCAGAAATCATTGAATAGAAATAACAATACAATGTGGTTCCTCTGAGTTATTGTTGCACTTTACATATTATCCTCCTCCTTTCATCTTTCTATAATCACAGAGGAATATGGCGACCTCAGATCCCGAGTCACCCTTGTGACTTGTATTTAACTTTTAATCCTTCATTTTAATAAACAGGCAGCACCGCAGCACAATGGCATAACTCCCGCACTTGGATCAAATCCCGGGGAAGAAACATGCCGTGCCCCCATTCCACCCACAATCATCACTGCCGGGCCCCTCGCAGTGACCCACAGGTCTGATACTGGTCACTATAGGAGTATATCCAGAGGTGGAGGTGACAGCTACACAGGGTGCCAATCCAGAGACAACTTGCTTTTGATTTAAGAGATAACTTAGCTATTCAGTTCAATGTTTTATTATGAAATTGTTCTTTTATGTTATTTTGGGATGATTGGAGTCAAAGGATTGGATGATTGGAGTCAGATAACTGGCAGTGTTCGGCATTGTACATTTAGCTCTGCTTTCCCAAAGCAGGGCTAAATGTAGAAAACAACTACCCGCCCAGCACCCGGAACTGCATGTCCGGGGAATTGGGAGATAGGAATTCCATACCCCTGCTGCCCCTCTACTCCCCGGCCTTGGTTGGCCTTGTGGGAAATCCGGCCCTGGGTAGGGTTAAAGTATTTAAAGCCAGAATGTATCTATTTTGAGTAGGGAAGGGTTAAAAATTGCCGTTAGCTTTTTTTTTTTTTCATTAGGGAGATTTCCCTTCACTTCCTGTCCTGCAGACTCAACAGGAAGTGAGATGATATCTTGCCAATAGAGGAAAAAATCCCTCTTAGACCTTTCTTCTCTGGTGGCAACTCAGAATTTTGGATTCCCCCTCACTTTCTTTCCCTGTGACTCTGGTGATCAGGACAAACAGAGAGAGTGAATGTCCCTAATATGATATAGACAGCAATAAAATACCTGATAGGGGGAGAGGGGGGCCTAACCCTCACCACTGTATAAAAAACCCCCCCAGTTTTGTCTTTATATATACAAATACGTACAATGAAGCTGTTTTATCTGTCAAAGGATTTGTAGTTCTGTCCATCCAGCCCTGAGATTTACAGAGCTCTGCCAAACAGCACAGTAGTCCTGTCTAGCAGGGCAGGAGACCCGGTCTTTCTCTGCTGTAGTTACACTTTCACTTACTGGGTCTTCTCTCCACCGCCATTTGTAGAAGAAGCAGCAGCAGACTACTAAGCTAATCTCTATGTCACTCTGCTTTCTCCTTCTATCAGATGTACCTCGCAATGCAGCACACCTAATGGGCTCCTTGTGCTGCTTCTGCCGATAGGAGGAGAGAGCAGAGTGATTTAGAGATGAGCTTATCACTGTGCTGCCTCTGCTTTCATTGTCTAGTCACTGGTTGGGGTGGGCCCAGGACAACCTGGGCTCAGAGGAAGTGGGTTGAATGAGGACATCTAGCAGCAGAAAAAAAGTACTTTGGGGGAAATGTCTGGATTGGGAGAAGATGGCAGCTGTGGCCATGGAGTGATGAAGAACGTGGAAGGCAGACCGCTGGAGCACAGAGCTTTAAGAGGTAAGTACCCCCTCACAGGGGGAACATGCAAGCTCCTTGGCAGATAGGGACACCCAGTGCTTACCACTACACCACCATGCTGCCCAATTCCCTATTCCTATATATCTCAGGGAATCTACTAGAAAGATCTCTGTGCTGAATTCCCAAATCTGCAACCATGTTGTGACCATAAAGCTCCATTCACACCTAGGCGTAGTGAAATGGTAGGGGAGCTACTTTGGGGGAGATTTCAGCGCGTTTTGTCCCATAGACTCGATAGAAAATGATTGAAAACGCGTATTGCAATTACTTTTGTGCATTTTTGCGCGTGTTTTGCCCATTTACATGAATGTGCCAAATCTGCTCACAAAAATACGCTACTTAATATATGAGAATAAAGCGCACAAAAACCGCTCAAAAACGATGCACCTAAAACACACGTGATTGGTGTTGCCTAGGTGTGAATGGTGCCTTATGAGGTGTCCCCACCATCCCTGCTTTGCCCATTAGGAAGGGCTTCCACCATCCCTGTGCTGACTTCCGGGTCTGTACACCTGCTGTACCCATTATGAGTGGTTCCCACCATACCAATGCTGAGTTCCTGGATCTGCAATCCTGCTGTGCCCATTATGAGGGGTTCCCACCATCACTTAGCTGGGTTCCCGGATGTGTACACCTGCTGTGCCCATTATGAGTGGCTCCCACCATCCCTGTGCTGAGTTCCCGGATCTATAACCTGCTGTGCCCATTATGAGTGTCTCCCACCATCCCTGTGCTGAATTCCCGGATCTATACACTTGCGGTACCCATTATGAGGGGTTCCCACCATCCCTGTGCTGAGTTCCCGGATCTATACACCTGCTGTGCCCATTATGAGGGGTTCCCACCATTCCCATGCTGAGTTCCCGGGTCTGTACACCTGCTGGGTTGACTCAGCCAACCCGTCTACACCTATATTTAAAATATCCCTTTTGGAGGACTGACCCTTTAAGCTTTGCAATGCACAAAAATTCCCCAGCACACTAGCCGGCTGGTCTGCATGAAAACAAAGTCTAGGGCCGGGATCACACCTTAGCGATGCATGCTTCACGTTGTGGTGCAAAACCATTCATTCATAATGACATCCCAAAACACCTTGCCAACGCTTGTCCCTTTTGTGCCCCTCGATGCACCTAAGTACATGCACCTTTTTCTAATAAATGGGCTGCCCCGACACAACGCAGATTAACGCGCGAACTAACACACATCTACGCGTTTTGTGCATGAAGATGTAGGGCTTGTTCACACCAAATGCAGACCAGATCTGCATGAGTTTCTGCACACGCAGTACAGTGGGTTGTGTCCCGTTTTTGATGTGTTCCGGGCCGTTTTTGGTTAAAAAATGTTTGTGTTTTTTCCCCCTCCGTTTAGAATGGGCTTTTAGTGCATTCCAGGGTGTTTGCATGCGTTTTTATGCGTTTGCATGCGTTCCAGAGCAGGTAAAATAGGGCTTGCTGCAGTTTTTTTTACATGCTCTGGAACTGAATGCTGCGGTGTGAACTAGAGCCCAAAATACCATTGGAATACATTGGACGCAGTTTTGATCCGGTCTGTAACTGCTCTGCTCCTGGAACGCGCTTGGTGTGAACAAGGCCGTAGATCTAGACTAAACTGTTTCAATCATTTGCATTAAAAAATAATAAAAAAAAAAAAACTGCCCATACACCAATAGATTACAAAAAGTAACTGTTGCAATGTTGGTTCAATTTTCTACAAGTTCATTGGGTGGAATGGGCGATCGTTTATAACCGGAGTGATAAAAATAATGTTTAATAAACGGGATGGAACATTTTTTTAGAACAAAAGAAATTCTAACAGTAAACAGCTTTTGTTTGAGAACTCCATTTTTAAAAATTGAATGTTAAACCAAACAAAGTTAGGAACGACATTTGTCAAGCTTCGATGGAATTATTGAACGCTCCAAAAATTGTATTATTACCGTTCGTACAAAAAGTACCAGTGTATGGCCGGCTTTATACTCATTCGCCGTCATTTTATAACACACATCCAGATTATATTAAACTTTTTGTATCTTGTGCGAAAACAAAGCACTCTGGGTTTAAAAAACTCTCTAAAAAAAACCCTTCTCCCCTTAATTAATAGTAAATATTAGTTTCTGAGCGGCCCGATAAAGACAATTAGGCAGCTTTTCTGTAGAATGTGAATCCTTGTTGTGTCCACAGGAGGATGAGTGAGGAATTTCACACACTGCTGGGAGGGAGAGGGACGGGGAAAGGTGTGCACTGCACAGATGTATGGGGAGAGTGAGGAGGCTGGGACAAGGGGGAGAGGGACCATGTGGGAGAAGACAAATGGGAGGGGAGAAGGGCCGGGTCACCGAGTAGTGACAGCTGACACAGAGTGACACAGGGCGATGGAGAATGGGAAGGTAGAGGCAGGTTAGGTGACAGCCGGGAGTAAAAAAAGTTGCAGGGAAAAAGTTTCTGGATATTGTTAATTGGTGGCATTCGGAAGAAAAGAACTGGAGGTTAGGGGTGAATAGAGGGGAAAGTGGGTGAAAGTGGGTGTGTTTAGTGAAAGGGATCTTAGACAGGGTCTCACCTCAGGCACCCCCCTTTGCTCTCTCCTCCTCCCCTCCCAGCGCTGGGCAGCCCTCCCCTCCCCTCCCCAGGCTGTCTGCACATGGTGTAAGTAGTGAGTTTCCAGCAGTAGCTGCAGCCTGTCCTCTCCTCTTCTGTCCTCTCCTGTCTGCTCCCTTGCAGCTTGCTCCTGCTGATCCTGCGGCCCTCCTCCTCTCCCCTCCCTTCCCTGTACCTGGGCATCATGCCCCGGCCTCAGTGGCCCAGGAGATGCAGGGTCCCCGGGGTGCCCCCTCTCTGCAGCCTGGCGCTGCTCCTCCTCTGGCAGCTGGTGAGGACCCAGGCGGCAGTGAATGTAACATTGAGGTATGCAGGTGGTGATGGCACCTGGTGGGTCTCAAAACCTGGAACTGCCACAGGTGCTCGGCTGCACCCAGAACTGGATGTTCTGAGAAGGCAATTCCCCCAGCACTATGCACCTAAAAAAGGCCGTTATGGGCACTCAAAGGTGTCACTTCACCGACTGCATCCTTTGATTCTATGTTGAGCTTTTACAAGGGGTACACTAATGATGCCAACTGCACTTTGTAGCCGTCCTGGAGCATTTTGGAAGCCAATTCTCTGGAGCTCCAGGTATCCAATCTGTGGATAATGTCGTCATAACTATCAGTTGATTAATTTTTTTGTGGTGCAGGTAAAAAAATTGCAACAGGTGCACATTATAGATTAAACAAAGTTACTATGTGAACATTTAGGCAATAGGTCGGCGGCTGTTAAATATTTTCTGTCTTCTGTTCAGCGTGTCTCAATATCTGTTGTCCGTCAAGTCTACTGTAATTTTCTGTCATTCACTGTCTTTGCTTATGCCAACCATTGCCAGTCCAGCAGATGGACGGAACTCAATGTAAGGTCCAGTGTGGTCAAAGTTGCATGTTAACTCTTAGGATCAGCACCCAAAGGACACAAGACAAGGAGCCCTGGTACCCTCAATCTCCTGAAAGACACACAGGATGCTTTCAGGATATTTAGGGCTCTTGAATTACAGGACAAGCACAAACCACCTGCTGTGGCTTTCTAAGCCTGTTCTCCTCGGTTTTTGGTTTTGGATGGGATCCGGATGGTGTTTGAACTCTGTATATTTAGCTGTGTTTAAATTTAACCTTAGCACCACTGACCCTGCGGTTGGCTAACTTGGAGGAGCTCCTGGGAGATGCTTGCATACTTTACGGTGCTGCCTTTGATAAATGAACGTTTGCCGTAGCTTATTTGTGCATCAATCTTGCTTAAAGCCTTTGAAGGAAGATATCTCAATAGCCAAAGTTTTGCAATTGTTTAAAGCTAGGGGTTTAGCACTGTAGCTCAGAATACAAACTGTGGACAGCAATCCCTTACAGGGTTGGTAGATACTCAATAGTTGTTCATTCTTTTTCGTCATCGGTGTAAGTCTTTAGAAGATTCCTATGATGTCATCCTGTCCTGTTTCTATTAAACTGAGTTGCATTGTGCCAAGAGATATATAGGAATGTAATACAGCATTATAGAACTGTATAATATATAGTACACATGTATTGTTCAGATGATTTGATGGAAGAAATGTACCTCTGCTTATAGCCAATGTCTCAGCCACCACCTGCTTTGGCTTCCTACACAGCGGTGTATTGTGGCCGTTGAGTTAGGTATGCCCTATGTATGTATAGAAGCGTGCTTGTGAATAGTGGTGTTTGTGCAGGTCCTTGTGTGTGTGGTGTGCAGGGGGAGCAGGCGCACAAGGAGCCCAGGTAGAAGTACAGTCAGGGGATGTGAGGTATGACTTGCAGTGTGGCCCCCTCACACCACGCTCACTCATATCTCACAGCAACTGGTGCGTGCAAAGGGCAAGTCTCCCAGATGTATTATCATGGCATATGGTCCTGAAATTCAAGGGGGGGGGGGGGATCTGACCCTCATTTTCCAAAAAGTGGGTGACAGTACTGCACCAGATGGGGGCGTGGGCAAGTTGTCGACAGGCCCACCTGAATGCAAGCCTTTTGGCCCCATAATGGGGGTATTAAAGTAGACTTTAAGTGGTAACTTGCTGGGACTTTCTTCCTGAAGAATGAGCCATTGAGAATTCAGCATCCTCCTCAGCTGATACACTACAAACTCCAGTATGTCCTGTCAGCTGGAGGCTTGCATAGCATGCTGGGACTTATAGTCCCATGGTGGCCATAGGGCCTTTTTTGCAGTCATAGGGTCATAGAATTGGTTGATTCACTGAAGCTGACTGTATTAGAACTTGAAATGCACTTTGATTTTGTTGAGTATTTGACGTTTCATATTTTATTTAAAAAAAAAAAAAGAAAGTTTTAATTCCACAGAAATCCCAGGAGCTTCCAAGGCAGAAATATATTGATCAAAAAAAAAAAAAAAGCCTTCTTAACTTTTCCTTGACGTCTTCTCCCTGAGCCTAACAATGAGGATATTTTATTGTTTGACTGGCCAGATTGTGCTTTTTTTTTGTTTTGTTCTTTTGGTTTGTTTTTAATGAGCTCAGCACTGGCTGATGGAACAAGAAAACGTTTTATTGAGAGCTCAGAAAATTCCATGAAGGCAGAATCGAATCGCAATTGCACAAAATCATATAAAAGGTGCTGGCTGGCTGGCTGGCAAGCAGGCATGCTCTCTCTCCGAGATGGAGACTTTTCGTCTGGCTTTGAATTCCGTACCAGTGACAAAATAAAGGGCAAAATCCCACAGAAAGGAACAACACATGATAAAATATTGCAGGCTCTCAGCAGAGGTGACAGTGTGCGGGTGGAACAGAGGAAGCTTTGGATCAGAACAAAGGTTCTTTTTTTAAGGAATGGCTTCCAATCAGGGATGACAGCTGGGAGCGGAAATCTGTTTGACAGCATCAACGCTTATGATATGTCAGCTGAAATATAGTACAGCATTAAGCCAGGGATAGATTGGGAGAAGAGGTAGCATCATCTACTCAAGATTTTTTTTTTTTTTTTAGCAACCCAGAATTAATTAATCTTGGGATGAAACCAAGATGGGGCCAAGACCTGTGACTAGAATCTGTTGACAGACTGGGAAAGAGTTTCTTTGGCACTAATATACTGTATGTGGGCACCTAAATTTGTGTCCTTGATTTATTACAACATAGATTTGTTTTGGCACCCAGAATATTTGCCATGATAGCATTTTTCATGCTAAAATGGGTGTGATGGTAACATTTCCTTTGAGTAGACACTACTTAGAGATGCCATTTGGGTTTATGGGTAGATCAATAGAGGTTAGGTTCTGATTTAGAATCAGGGTAGGATTTAGGTTGGGATAAAGTGTTAGGATGAGGTTACAGGTTATTTTGAGAGGTTAGGTTGTGGTTTATGGGTAGATAAACCACAATCTATGTTGTAATAAATCAAAGAGGTTAGGTTCTCATGTAGAATTAGGGTTAGGGGCTGGGTTGGGATAAAAAGATAGGATGAGGTTAAGGGTTATGTTGAGAGGGTAGGTTGTGGTTTATAGGTAGATTAAAGAGGTTTAGGCTCTGATCTAGAATTAGAGTTAGGGGTTAAGTTGAGATAAATTATTAGGTTATAGGTTACATGTTATTTTTAGGGGTTACGCTATGGTGTATAGGTAGATTAAAGAGGTTAGGTTCTGATGTAGAAATAGGGTTAGGTTGAAATAAAATGTTAGGATGAGGTTAAGAGTTACATTGAGGGGTTAGGTTGTGGTTTATGGGTAGATTAAAGAAGTTAGGCTCTGATGTAGAATTAGGGTTGGGGTTAGGTTGAGATAAAGTGTTAGGATGAGGTTAAGGGTTGGTACGTTGAGGGGTTAGGTTGTTGGTTTATAGGTAGATTAAAAAGGTTAGGCTCTGATGTAAAATTAAGGTTAAGGGTTAGGTTGAGATAAAGTGTTTGGATAAGGTTAAGGGTTACGTTGAGGGATTAGGTTGTGGTTTATGGGTAGATTACAGAGGTTTGGTTTTAATGTAGAATTAGTAATAGGGTTTAAGTTGAGATTAAGTGTTAGGGTGAGGTTAAGGGTTACGTTGGGAGGTTAGGTTTTGGTTGGATAAGTTAGGGTTTAGTGTTAGGGGTAAGGGTTAGGTCGAGGTCAAGAAGAAGTAACTTGATTTGAATTTTTTATTAACATTGGCTGCGATATTACAACATTTTCATTTCCACATATATATGACTGATTCAAATGTATTCAAATACACTTTTTGGTGCTGAAAACCCATCCACAGAAAGAGGTAGTGCCAATGCTCCTGTGCCAATAGCGACCACGCCAATTTTCAGAAGCTCCAAACTATGTAGTGTGATGGAAAGAGGTTAGTCAAGGACAGAGACAGTATGGCTTTGCTTATAGCCGCTTGAGAACAGGTAACGAATCCAGGAAATTTCAAAGTGCGCTGCAGCCTGCAGCTGGGTTCATTTCAAAAGCTATCAAAATTGTGAGCTAAGTCTACATCAAGGGAGCTTTAGGAGACTTTTGGAATTTTGGCCCCCACAAGTCAACTTTTCTGACTTTTGTCTTTCTCGTATAAGGCTCCGGTGTCAAAATGTTTTTTGTTCCCTCTGTCCCTTGGTGCGTTCTCAATGTTTTATCAATGCTCTACTGTCCTCGTTTCTCTACCTGTTCAGTGGGTGCCAGCGGAGGAGGAGGAGGCCTGCTGCATAGTTTGGAAGAGGTGTCAGTTGTTACAGTGAAAGGCAGTAGAGGGGGTGATAGGAGCGCAGTATGAAAGCAGAGCCTGTTTAAGCGAGCAGGGACTCTGGATGTCCATATTTCAAGGAAGAGAGCGATGTGTCAATCAATCCGCTGTAGAGAAAGTGACTTCTCCAGTGCTGACCACACTTGTCTCACAATAAGCTTACTATATAGTAAAAGAAAGACAGTAGTGTTAACACAAATAATACATATGGCGCCTCATGGCATAAAATACAAACTACTGCAGGATCTAGAACTGTTTTCTCTTTTTGCCAAATCTGTCGTCCTTATCTTATATGGAATGGGAGGGATCAATCTGTAGTTTGGGATAAATCAACCCAAGATATCATAAGGAATCCTTTACCAGTCATGAACTAAGTAGTTTGCTGTGATTCATGGTCCAATTTGTTAGTATGGATGCTTTAGTTTTTCTATAGTGCATCACTGCAAGCACAGTTACACTTGTATTGATGTGTGAGGAACACGTGGCGAGTTGCCCATTGTGAAAATACATAAAGCTGCTTATATAAAAGTCACAGCTCCTGTAATCACTGGCAGGGTTGTTGCTTCTTGTTAGAAACCGCAACATTGGTACCAAGTTCCAGCACTGTACGTTGTGGTGTCAAATCAATGCGGCCTTATG